GACCATGCACCACCACCCATAGAATCAAGAAAGAGCTCTCAGCCTGTCAATTCTTACTATGTCTGGACCTGGTAAGTTTCCCCGTGTTGAGTCAAATTAAGCCGCAGGCTCCACTCTTGGTGGTGCCCTTCCGTCAATTCCTTTAAGTTTCAGCCTTTTGACCATACTCCCTCAGAACCCAAAGCTTTTGATTTCTCATAAGGTGCCAGCGGAGTCCTAAAAGAAACATCTGTCAATCCTGTTTGGTATCGTTTATGGTTGAGATTGGGAGAGTATCTGATCGTCTTCGAGCCCCTAACTTTCATTCTTGATTAATGAAAATATCCTTGGCAAATGCTTTCGTAGTTGTTCGTCTTTCATAAATCCAAGAATTTTACCTATGACTATGAAATACGAATGCCCCCGACTGTCCCTGTTAATCTTTACTCCGATCCCGAAGGCCAACACAATAGGATCGAAATCCTGTGATGTTATCCCATGCTAATGTATACAAGCATAGGCCTGCTTTGAGCACTCTAATTTCTTCAAAGTAACAGCGCCGAAGGAACGACCGGGCAATTAAGGCCAGGAGCGCATCGCCGGTAGTAGGGACGAGCAGACCAGTGCTCACCGTGAGGTGGACCGACCGACCCAACCCTAGGTCCAACAACGAGCATTTTAACTGCAACAACTTAAATATACGCTATTGGAGCTGGACTTACCGCAGCTGCTGGCACTAGACTTGCCCTCCAATGGATCCTAATTAAGGGATTTAGATTGTACTCATTCCAATTACTAGACTCGTAGAGCCCGGTATTGTTATTTATTGTCACTACCTCCCCTTGTCAGGATTGGGTAATTTGCACGCCTGCTGCCTTCCTTGGATGTGATAGCCGTTTCTCAGGCTCCCTCTCTGGAATCGAACCCTAATTCTCCATCACCCATCACCACCATAGTAGGCCACTATCCTACCATCGAAAGTTGATATGGCAGAAATTTGAATGAAGCGACGCCGAAACAAAGGCCGTGCGAACCGTCTAGTTATCATGAATCATCCAAGCAACGGGTAAAGCCCACGTCAACCTTTTATCTAATAAATGAATCCCTTCCAAAAGTCGAGGTTTGTTGCACGTATTAGCTCTAGAATTACTACGGTTATCTGAGTAGCAAATACCATTAAACAAACTATAATTGATTTAATGAGCCAAGCATATGACTACTGGCAGGTTCAACTAGGTAGCATTCCTTCACGACGTCGAGCACTGTATAGTCCTCAATCCGATGCCTTGCTAGTGGACGAGGCCATAACAGGACACGAGCATCATTTATGTTGAGGGATGAAAATGCGTAGGCATCGAGCGATGGGGCCGAGGGACCCAACGCTCACAAAATGTTCCGCATCTGAAAGAACGATCGAGCATCGATGCACCGCCGTGGCTGAGTATACACAAAACGTACAAACAGGACACGGGGCACGACTTAAGTCCACTACGTAGGAACAAGGTCACATGATGGAAGTGGGAGGGCAAGACATCCGAAATTCCATCGATTTAGGTACGTAACACAGGATCACGATCGCACCCCTTGGGTTCGAAGACCGCAAGGAGAGACATTGAAGAGGAGTGCGGCTTGACAGTTCGATGCATCTTGCACGGAGCTTGCCGACACACACAACTATATCACCACTCACATGCCCATTGCGTAAGAGTAGTAGCATCCACACCCACCAGTTCACAACCCACACGACCAATGACTTGGCCGAGGAGCGGAGAAAACAATGAACGAGGGCACACCACAACCGCTTGGCACGAAAACTAGACATAGGCGAGTATACCCGCCAATTTCCCATCACGAAGGCAACCAATAGTTTGTTTTGGTTCAAATATTTAACGGCCTTTTTGTGAATCTTTTTTTTGGGGGGTGGAGTATGTGGCCTTTTTTCATTTTAGAGGAAAGGGATGGCCTTTTATTTCGGGGGTTGAGAAGGTTTTTTTTGGAAGAGGGCTCTTAGTATTGGGTGTTTTATCTCGCTCCCCCTAGTAGGTCGTTGCCATCAAAGGACTTGGTATTGGGTGACAAATGTGTCGACAAGTAACACAGAGCCAATAGAGCACGCGGACTAGACCAAAGCGACGAGCAGATACCGAGTGTGGCCGAACATGGAAAGAGAATGACCAATTCACAGGTGGGTACTACACCACTCCGAGTTGATACCTCACCCAAGATATGGGGAAGAGGTTCATGAGTATCGGGCGCACCGACCATTCACACGATCATATTATTTCGGCTATCATGTCCGGCTAGCCCCGCTGGTGATGGGGGCTATCATGTGCTAGCGCTAGGCGCTGCCTCGCCCCCGTGGGGTGCCAAGGCCCACACCCCCTGGGGGGTGGGAGGGGGTGCCAGGCCACTACCCCCTAAAGAGCTAAAACAACTTAGGCAAAATACTACCAGTAGACATTGAAATGTCTGAAACGAGGACACTTTCTCCATCGCCCTTCTTGTGGCCACCCAATGGCCTTTTTTACGGCAGAAAATTGAAGTATATGTGGAACTTGTAGAAGGCAGAAAATTGAAGTAGATGTGGTATTGGATCAGACCGTCATGCCTTGTCCCAATTTTCGTCCCGAAACGCCTTATTTTTACTTTTAATTTTGAATTTTTTGATATATTTTAATAATTTTAAATCTTTTGGTCCAATTTTTTCCAAGTTGTTGGACGTAAAAGCGTATTTCTTTGCATCAAATTATGTGTTTAATTATGTAGATTGTTTTAATATTTTTTAAGATTTTTTTACAGTAATATAGATTAATAATTATATTTTTATATTAATTAAGGATATTTTTATGTTTAATAAATAAAAGATTTAATTAACATTATACATAGTGTAAATATTTGTAGAGATGGTAATGATGCATTACTTAAGGATATACTTTTTGTTTTTTCTTAGTTGGCCTTGGTTCAAATCCCATTAATGTATACTTTAAATTTTTAGTCCTGATCTTGCTTTTGTTTTTCAGTGTAGCAATAATATAAATGTAAGAAAATGGGAAAATTAATTATAATTTTGTTCCGAAACTCCTACGGTTTTAGTATTTCTTATTAATTTAATTTACACTCATTAAAGATTATTTTATTTGACGTTAAGTAGAATTGGTTTGACACATTAGAAACGTAATTTGTGCGAGTGTTTGTGGTAACGGTATATTTTTATTTTCAATCGACATTGGTTCAAATCCCACTAATATAAACTTTACTATTTTAGTTATGATATTGCTTTCCTTTCTCACTTTCTGTAGCAAAAATATAAATGGTTGGAAAAGGATAAATTAGTTCTAATTTTGTTTTGATATTTATTATTTTTTAATTAACTTTGGGAGGTTACAACTAATCTTTAATCATGTTATTTATATTTATTTTTTAAACATTATGGAAGCTTTATAATTTTAGCAACAATTGTACTGTTATTATTATTAATTCAGTATTAATTTAATTTCAAGTTAACTAATAGTAAATGTTTGACAACTTATTGACAAAGTATTATTGGTAGTAGTGATGGTTAGAGTTTATGTTATTTTGTCTATCGACCTTGGTTCAAATCAAACTAAATTTTAAAATTGTGTTACTAGATTTATTTTAAAAAACAAAATCAATGACATTGCATCCCTATTTTATTCATCGAACAAAAACCCTAAACCCAATCAAACAACTTAAGTACTTGTGTAATAGGGGGAAAAATTTATGTCAAACATCTTAAATGCTTCGGAGGTTCAAATCTCTTCAAATACATGTTTTAAATATACATTTGTTATTAACCTACGGTAATCCTGTAATGGAACACATTTGTTTGGTTTTCGTTAACAAAACTCAGTAATTTCGGTAATATAATTGTAGTATTTGTTATTCATTTTATTTATATTAAGTATGTGATATTTTAATTTGACGTGAAGTAAATTTGGTTTCATACATTACAAATATAATTTATTTGTTCCGAAACTCCTACGGTAATTTATTTTTAGTATTTCTTATTAATTTAATTTATACTCATTAAAGATTATTTTATTTGACGTTAAGTAAAATTGGTTTGACACATTAGAAACATAATTAGTGCGGGTGTTTGTTGTAACGGTATATTTTTTATTTTCAATCGACCTTGGTTCAAATCCCACTAATATAAACTTTAATATTTTAGCTATGATATTGCTTTCCTTCCTCACTTCTTGTAGCGATAATATAAATGGTTGGAGAAGGATGTATTAATTCTAATTTTGTTTCCAAATTTATTATTTTTAAATTAACTTAGGGAGGTTACAACTAATGTTCAACCATATTAATTATATTATTTTTTGTAAACATAATGGAAACCTTATAGTTTTAGCAACACTTTTACTATTATTATTGATACAGTATTAAATTAATTTGAAGTTAAATAATAGTAAATGTCTGGCACTTCATTGTCAAAGTATTATTTGTAGCAGTGATGGTTAGAGTGTTTGTTATTTTGTTTATCGATCTTCCTTCAAATCCAATTAAGTTTTAAAATCGTGCTACTAAATTTATTTTAGAATAACGATGAAATTGCATTCCTATATTACTCATCGATCAAAAACCTTAAACCCAATCAAACATTTTAAATAGTTATGTTATAAGAAAAAATATTACGCAAAACAAAGTAATAAAAAGTCTAATCAGACTGTCATAAACAATAATCGTGCATATTAAAGACACTATGGGTAAATAAATAAATAAATAACTGAATCTTATGCATAAATAAATAAACAATGTAATCTATTTTGTACGATATCATTTGTTACATCCAAAGAATTCATTAACCTTCATAAACGTTATTGAATAAGACACATTACGTTAAAAGAGTGTTAAGGGGACCATTCAATATGAGAATGATTTAAGTTTACGTGCACAATGACAAATCAATTTTTAAAAAATAAATTATGGTGTAGAAAAGGGACAAAATACATAATTTGTAAAATTAAATTGGGGATAGGAACGATGGGGGAGGGACAAATCGAAACGAAAAAGGCTGAATCTTAGTATATCGTAGCAGCAAGGCCACTCTGCCACTTACAATACCCCATCGTGTATTTAAGTCGTCTGCAAAGGATTCTACCCGCCGCTCGGTGGAAATTACGTTCCAGGGAGACACGCGCGACTTGTCTGACGTGCGCGCTGCACCCACGACACGTGCCCTTGGGAGCCGGGGCCCCTACTGCGGGTCGACAATCGGGTGATGGGCGCATGCGTCGCTTCTAGCCTGAATTCTGACTTAGAGGCATTCAGTCATAATCCAGCGCACGGTAGCTTCGCGCCACTGGCTTTTCAACCAAGCGCGATGACCAATTGTGCGAATCAACGGTTCCTCTCGTACTAGGTTGAATTACTATTGCGACGCGACCATCAGTAGGGTAAAACTAACTTATCTCACGATGGTCTAAACCCAGCTCACGTTCCCTATTGGTGGGTGAATAATCCAACACTGGGTGAATTCTGCTTCACAATGGTAGGAAGAGCCAACATCGAATGATCAAAAAGCAACGTCGCTATGAACGCTTGGCTGCCACAAGCCAGTTATTCCTATGGTAACTTTTAAGACACCTCTAGCTTCAAATTTTGAAGGTCTAAAGGATCGATAGGCCACACTTTCACGGTTCGTTTTCGTACTGGAAATCAGAATGAAACGAGCTTTTACACTTTTGTTCCACACTAGATTTCTGTTCTCAGCCAAACTCCCCACCTAACAATGTCTTCCGCCTGGATCGACCGACAGAAGCCGGCGTTGTGTCCAAAAAGAGGGGTCGTGCCCCACTTCCGATTCACGGAATAAGTAAAATAACATTAAAAGTAGTGGTATTTCAATTTCGCCCGAGAGCTCCCACTTATCCTACACCTCTCAAGACATTTCACAAAGTCGGACTAGAGTCAAGCTCAATAGGGTCTTCTTTCCCCGCTGATTCTGCCAAGCCCGTTCCATTGGTTGTGGTTTCACTGGATAGTAGATAGGGACAGTGGGAATCTCGTTAATCCATTCATGCGCGTCACTAATTAGATGACGAGGAATTTGGCTACCTTAACAGAGTCATAGTTACTCTTGCCATTTACCCGCTCTTGGTTGAATTTCTTCACTTTGACATTCAGAGCACTTAAAGAAATCACATTGCGTGAGCATCCGCAGGGACCATCGCAATGCTTTGTTTTAATTAAACAATCAGATTCCCCTTATCCGTACCAGTTCTGAGTCGACTGTTCGTCACACGGGGAAGGCCCCCGAAGGAGCCGTTCTAGTCCGTCCCCAGGCTGGCACATGGCGACCCGCTCTCGTCGCAGAAACAACTCGAGCAAGTGCACCGGCAGCCGACGGGTTCGGGACTGGGACCCCTGTGCCCAGCCCTTAGAGCCAATCATTTTCCCGAGGCTGTTCACCTTGGAGACCTGATGTTGTTATGAGTACGACAGGGCGCGGATGACACTCGGTCTTCGAATTTTCAAGGGCCTTCGGAGGCGCACCGGACACCACGTGACGTGCGGTGCTCTTCCGGCCACTGGACCCTACCTCCAGCTGAGCCATTTCCAGGGTGGGCGGGCCGTTAAATAGAAAAGATAACTCTTCCCGAGGCCGCCGCCGACGTCTCCGGACTCCCTAACGTTTCCGTCAGCCGTCACGTCCCGGTTCAGGAATTTTACCCGATTCCCTTTCGAAGCTCGTGCGAACGAGCTATCGGACGGGCTTCCCCCGTCTCTTAGGATCGACTTACCCATGTACAAGTTCCGTTCACTTAGAACCTTTCCCCTCTTCGACCTTCAAAGTTCTCATATAATTATTTGCTACTACCACCAAGATCTGCACCGACGGCCGCTCCGCCCGGGATCACGCCCCGGGTTTTACGGCGACCCCCACGCCCTCCTACTCATCGGGGCCCGGCCCTTACCTCGACGGCTGGGTATAGGTCACGTGCTTAAGTGCCATCCATGTTTGGGGCTAGTTGATTCGACAAGTGAGTTGTTACACACTCCTTAGCGGATTTCAACTTCTATTACCACCGTCCTGATGTCTTAATCGACCAATACCCTTTGTGGGTTCTAGGATACCGCGTACTTGGGCATCATAACCCGGCTTCTGGTTCATCCCGCATCGCTAGTTTTGCTTACCAAAAATGGCCCACTTGGAGCTCTCGATTCCGTGGCACGAATAAACGAAGCAGTCGCGCCGTCCTACCTATTTAAAGTTTGAGAATAGGTCGAGGGTGTTGCGCCCCTGATGCCTCTAATCATTGGCTTTACCGATAGAACTCGCTAAGGGCTCCAGCTATCCTGAGGGAAACTTCGGAGGGAACCAGCTACTAGACGGTTCGATTACTCTTTCGTCGCTATACCCAAGTCAGATGAACGATTTGCACGTCAGTATCGCTGCGGGCCTCCACCAGAGTTTCATCTAGCTTCACCCTGCTCAGGCATAGTTCACCATCTTTCGGGTCTTGACAGGCATACTCTCACTCGAACCCTTCT